ATTTAATTTTTCTTTACTATCTTGTTTGTATTAATTAACATATTATATTATTAGAAATTTGTTTTAATCATATTATTAGAACTTTATTTGAATTATATTATGACATATTTGTAATTGACTGTTTTTTAAGATATCTTTTTTGGTAATTTTACATTCTTATAAGCTAGTTTTTTTTTTCAAACATAAGGGATGTTTGGGATTGCTTATTTCAAACAACTTACACTTTTTTACAAAAGTCCTTATCGACTTATTATAAGTTAGAATGGTTTAACTTTTTCAAAAACTATTTATTACCGGTTTGGCACCGTATAAGCTGTTTATCCAAACACTCAAAAATGTTTATTACCGATGTCACACCGAAATAAGTCGATAAGTTATTTTTATAAGCAATCTCAAATACCCCCTATAATTTGCTCATCAACTAGCTTATAAATTACTTTGCCAAACATAGCCACAATGTATATAGTAATGCCTTTGGAACATCTCTAACAGATCCTCTAATATCAAGATTTTGGGGATTTTTGCTCCAACAAATTTTCTAAAATCTTCTTTAAAATGGAGAAAGCAATAGAGAAATAGTGAAAATTTTCAAATTTAAAAAAATAATCTAAAAATGATTAATTATGAAAAAGAAATTGTTTTTTATTCTTTCAAGAAATAAGAATCGTTTAAATTAAATGTATAGAAGAAAAATATTATATTTTATAAAATGTATTGAATATTTTAATAATATATTATATTGTTAATCTTCAAAAAAGAAAAGTTGTCCGAGATGAACATAAAAATAGATAATCAAAAGTCAAAATTTATAATAAAAAAAAAAATACTTTCACCCTATTTTCTCATTTTGGAGAGATTTTAAAGAATTTGTTGGATCAAAATTCCCTGAAAATCTTTATTTTAGAGAATTTGTTTCAGATACTGTTAAAAAAAATTATACATCCACAATGTTGGGTTTCTATCCAGGGTTTTCCACAGCTTTTTAATTTCACATCATCATTAACTCAACAACTTCAAACCCTCAACATAATTTCACCATGACAAAAAACTCAATGAAGTTTTTTTCAAACTTTTAGGTTCCACCAGTTTAAACTTATATCATTTATACTCTTATCTATACTAGTCACTCAGTTAAGAGTTATGAATAAATATTTATTTATATTGAGAAAATATTATTACTTTAAATATGTATTTATTTTATATTATATATTTACTAGTTTTATGATACTTTAAATATTGATAAATAAGACTGATTAGTAAATAAAATTGATTAAATACGAAACTTCTATAAAATTCTATAAAGTTAAAAAGTGATTATGTTTGGGATTGCTTATTTTAGATGTTTTTTTGACTTATTTCAGTCTAGCAACGGTGATAAGCTAAATGCTAGTGTTTGGATGAGGAAAAATAAAACTGCTTATATCAGTGCCAAACCGGTAATAAACAGTTTTTGATAAGTTAATCATACTTTACTTATGAAAAACGGCTTATTACCAGTTTACCATTTTAACCTTGTTTTATTAATCTTATTGATATAAATTATTAATCTTATTGATATGAATTTTTGTCAAAGATATTATTATAAATTGATGAAAAATTAATTTTTACATGTTATAAAATCAAATAAATTAATAAGCAATCCCAAACATTCCCATAAGTCAATAATATTGAATAATGTTCTTTTTAGTCATTTTACATATATAAGCAAAATTTGTCAAAAACTAAAAAACAATTTATCAAAATTGTCAGATACAAAGATAATTGAAAAATTAATTCTAAAATCCGTGGTCGTTGTCTTAAAGTTGGAAAAATTAATTTTAAAATCCGTGGTCGTTTTCTTCTCTTGTCAACCCCTCAACCAAGTCAAATGTATCTAGAGTTGCAGATTGGAGCTTAATTAATTAAAGAGTAAATTACAAACTTCGTCCCTATGGTTATATGTAAAGTTGGATTAGGTCCCTCAAATAAAATAATTACATATATGATCACTCTAGTTTTACTTTTGTTACGAATTGGATCCTTTCCCTTTAGAGTTGTTTACCTAAGTTCCGTCAATTCAAGGGTGCTTTGGTCATTTTAATAAAAACTAAATTAATAATATATGATGTTACTATTTAATATAATATAACACACCACCTTGTAGCAATATAATGCCCTCCCTCTTCCTCCGGATGGTCTCCGCATGATTTCATCGGACATTCCTGGTCTGGCGGTCCCCTTTCTCTTCAGCACCATCCCACTTTCCTCAATTGTGGCCACCACAACCTGCCACTCAAGCCATCTAAATGTCCCTGCTCACCATTCATCCTCCCTCCTTCATACACCATCAACCACCAAAAACTTGAAAAACCATGTTCATCGTTGTGATCTTCCATCTCCATCGAAGCTAACCACTAAGATTTGGTCTAAGTACCAGGGTGGTGCCTGATTAGTTTGAGCTTGGCTGCAAAGATCAAAAATACCAGGAGATCACAGGTTCAAATCTAAGGAGGAATAAAAATTCCCTTGTGGCCACGGAGGTTCAAATGCGGTAACTCCGGACTATCTGCAAAGCAGGTGGTCTCTCTAAGATTTGTCGGCTCGCATAGTGAGTTCGATATCCAGGTTAATAAAAAAAAAAAGATTTGCTCTAAAAAACCAAAATCTAATGCATAGTTTAAAAACCCAGATCTGATCTGGCCTCGATCCAGATTCAAAAGACATCAATTAAAACCAAACTCGAATATTTGGAATGTGTAATATACTAAGATGAAAATTCAATCTCGGTGACATTTTTATTTATGCACCTATTTGATTTTATTTATTTATGTTTCATGTTTTGAGTTGGGGGACCTGATCCATAATTCCTATATAACCACAGGGACTAAATTAAAAATTTTCTCTTAATTAAACAACGCGGTAATCATTTTCTGCAGTTCCTAATTCTGTTTTTCAGTTTCTTTTAAGAGGCAAAGACTTCTATGTTGTGCAGGACATATCTCGATAACTTGCCAAGATTATGTCTTCTACTACTGGTGAGGCCGACAAATTCTCATCATTAACTTCAACACATGTATGCTATCATTTTTCTCTTGATGAGATTCAGTTTGCAACCAATGATTTTGATGATGAAGTGGTCATCGGAAGGGGAGGTTTCGGAAAGGTGTACAAGGGCTCTATTTGTATAGGAGAAACTAGTCATGTTGTGGCCATCAAACGATTGGATTCTATGTCCGACCAAGGGGCACTTGAGTTTAGAAACGAAATTGAGATGCTTTCTAAGTTGCGCCACTGTCACTTGGTATCTCTGATTGGTTTTTGTGATGATAACAAGGAGATGATCCTTGTCTATGAGTATATGCCCCATGGAACTTTAGACCATCATCTACACAAAGCTGATACTCCTTTAAATTGGGTGCAAAGACTAAAGATAGCCTTAGGTGCTGCCCGTGGATTGGATTATCTTCACACTGGT